CATCTAGTAAAGTGGCACCATATGTGTCCACAGAAATATATGGAATGGTTACCTTATACAACAACTGACGAGCATTAACTCGCGTGAGAGCAGATGGATAACGTGGTCATGCATCAAAAGAGATGCTGCAATAAAAGTAATGAAATGAAAGTTTTTGCCTAGTGAGTGGATGTAGTTGTGGTGCACGGCTGCAGTGTGGAGACAACTCAGTTCTGATTGGACTGGTCCATATCCTGTCTGTTAATAGCTCAATTAAGTGAATTACGAGTTACAGCAGTTGTGAAGCAAACACGTTAACAAGTTGAAACTCTGTATCACTAATAAACCTCTTGAAAACTAGTTACTCCAGGAATCAGAAGTGATTGAGTGAATTGACTCTTACGACGATAGTACTGTGTCATATGATCACATCTCAGCTGATGAGGAGGAATACATTGGTAGTATAAGTTTTGCTGTTTGTGAGGAGTCAGGTGATGAAGTGTCAGTACAAGAGCACTTTATCTGCTCTTATTATTAGACGAGACACAGACGAAAATCTTCTAATTGTTATGACTGGGATTAACTGCTTGACAAAGAGTTTGGGTATTCAGTTAATTGAAAGTGGCATTCCATTCCTTGCTTTGTGAGCTGTCAAGTTATGTTACACTATACGATGTGTGAGCAGTACATTATATGACAGTCACATTATTATTTAACAGTTAGGAGAGCTAGGTGGTTAAAATATCAACAACTAAAGAGTTACTGAGCTGTGTTTGGTAAAGAGACTTTGATCTGATGTTTTGCAATAGTAGTTTAATTTATCTAGCTAAGTTGTAGTGGATTTTCTACAGAGTAAATCTCGCGAAACTAGCTATAGATATAAAACCAGAAAACGGAAATCGTTGGATGAAAAGCTTAGGGAAAGTTACTCTTGAGTTCATTTGTTAATGATTACTGGGGATGCAACCAAATCAACTGAAATGGCTTTGCAATCCTTGCTTTCTAAGCACCCAGGATAATATTGTGAAAAATGTTTTTAGAAATTTGTCTACAGAAACTTCCTGTGTAAACTTGAGCTTAAGAAGGAGCGATTTTCTGTTGCACTGCGAAATTGCACCTGAGGGTCTAATCTGTATATACCAATCTTACTGAATTGTAATCAGGGAGTTGTACTCTAACACAGCACGAGAAATTAACATATGCTGTGTGAATCAAGCAAGATATCTATAACTCTGTTAGATTTTTAACTAAGATATATTTCGTACATATCTGATGCAGTGAATCTTTCATGGCCTCTAGTGACAGTTTTGACGAGATTATCATAGTAATTTGGGCTGATTGCCGTGTTACGATAATGAAAATAATTTCGCTATCGTTCCTTGTGGATCTACTATATTGCACTGACGTATGTATTTTGTGGCTTACAACACGAAATGCAATGGATATCCATAGCAAAATGGTTCTATTTTTATGACTACTGGATTTTAATGACATTGCTTTGGTTTGGGTTATTTTAATTAAATGTGTGGCAACTGGAGATTTCACTTTACCATCCTTTTCAAGAGGAATGTGATGAAGCGACTGGCCCTAGCCAGTTGCTATTGAAACCACGGAGCCGTTCTTTTCTGGCTTCATGCACTACAAATTATGCATTGGTTTAATATTGTGGTATTCTCAAGTAACCCGATTTTTCAACAAGTGTGAAATAGATAGACTAAGAGATAATATCAAATGCAACGAGGAATTAAGGAAAAGTTTCTACACGAGATAATTGAATTAAGTTCACTTTAAATGTACAATAAAAAGTCTGGACAACTTTAAATTAATGAACAAAATCTTTATTGCTGAAATAAAACAGAAAACACAGACGTCTGGACAGTCCCTTTCTATTAGATTGTGTCTAGCTTTGTGAGATAACGAATTATTTTTCTTTGGTTATGATTTTGTTTATCGTTCCTTCTATCGTTTAGTTTATCTATGAATTTTTAGTTACATTAAAACGCTAACTCACCTTCTAGATGATCACGTTTATTTTGAGTAAACATGGATGTACTATGGGACTGACAACAGCTTTTCTAGCAGTGACGTGTAGTAGAAAAATGAGTCCAGAAAGAACGCCTGGATGTAGAATGCGCACTTGCTTTCTTATCCAGTGGATGGCGTCACCCTGTGACCTTTGTTCCTTGAAGTATTGATCGGCTATCACCTTCAGCCAACGTCATAATGGGCCAGCAAAGGATATTCCAATGCCAACCCGTTTAATCCGGATGCTTCATACTGAAATATACTTGTGGGCAGGGAAGATGTCAGGTACTGAAGAGAACAAATAAATGAAGCAACTAGCACAAGGTAACGTTAACGACATTCTGGACCACAAGTTACTGCTATGACAGTATTGAATCTAAGTAATCAGAAATCTTAATTTATACCTCACTATAGAAGGTATAAGACACACGGTATACCCTCTTATCATAATATAACATGTAAAGAAAAGCACGAGTACAGTCCATACGTTTTTATATTTAATCATTTGGTATATACGTTACGTACACTAATGTATAGTATACACAATAATAGAATTTATTCAAGCAAATAAAGACTTTTGGCTTGAAATAAGACACATTTGGCGGGAAACTGCAGTGATTGCATAGAGTTAAAACACGTTATTTGTGGGGACATTTCAGGCTTGGACTCAAATTGAAATATTCGAGATCATGTGATTTTTACTGAATGAAAGGCACAATTATTAGAACACCTACAACACACAAAGTGGAAAATATTGTGAAGAGATTATTTTAATCGATGTTGATGAAATATACTGCAGTTTTTGTAACTCAGATATCCATAGTTTATGTGACTTATTGAAAGTTATAGTCACTATATAATCAATTCGTTATTCAAAATGAAAGAAAACACTGTGCAAAAAGTTTTCGAGTAGTCTTGACTCGGAAATAAATTCTGTTAGTGTATATCCGACTGTTTTCGGACTTTGTGGGAACTAGAGGATGTTTAATGTAGTCATAATACATGAATTTTATGTTAACTGCGTGTTAAAGCATAATTTTTCGCGAGGGCTACACGAATGTACTTCTGCATTGGTGAAGATAGACGTAATTTTAATTATATTTAACTTGTATCAGAAAGTAGGTTGGAGAGTGAACACACGGGTAATGATACCTAAAAGGTTAGCAATATTATAGTGTTTGTTTTTTAGCGCAAAGCTACACAATAGACTACATTCGCTTTGTTTACAATGGGGAATCAAAACCCAGATTTTAGCATTGTATGTGCATAAACTTACTACTGGCCTACCAGAGGGTAGAAACAGTTGGCCTAATTTCAGTTATTGATGCGAGGTATCTTTTACCTTCCCATCTCATTGAACCAGGTTTATGTCTTTATAGTAACATACAATGATGGAAAGACCTCACGTGTATGTTGAGATAGATGAACTCACTGACAGGTGGCTGTTACCAAGGTTCTGCAAGGACAGTGTTCCATAAGAATATGGGCAGATTGCACATTAACTAGTGGTGAAATCAGAAATGTGGTATGGTGTTGGGCACATGCTATATCTGGTTCTAACAGAACTTTTCCAAGAAAGGGTCAATTTGTGATGCATAATATTACATTGCTAACTGATCTTCTGACCTATAACAGGTTGAGTTGACCTGGAGTTTGCAAACTTTACTTGTCTTTGAGCTTTGGTTTTGAGAATTGCCTAACAGTCTACTGCACACCTTAGTGAACCAGGCCTAAAGACTGCAACCTAATGCATTAGAAATGGGTCACCAACATAAAATAACATCACAAGTGATGCACACTCTCATTTGTCTGCTTCATCAACTGATGATCCAGGGTTCAACCCCAGAAGATTTTGCAGGAAGTGACCAACCACTTTATACATTGTAAATTGTCTTCACTTTGATGTATCTTGCATTTATACCTTATGCTTGTTTTGTATTTTGAGTTGATATGAGTATTTCATTGAATTGTATTCTGAATTTGCAATTTTTTTGTTTAATTTTTCAAATTCATAATGCATTTTATTTTATAGTAACTTCTGACGTCTCTGCTGGACAATAGTGTACCTGAATGCAACAGGATTTCTACTTTTAAATTACATCATTAAGAAAAAAAGGTACTGAATGCCTTACTGGTGGGTCTGAAGTTCAAACAAAGTATCTTGTATAAAAGCCAGAGCTGGGATTACAAGGTGCATACATCTAAAAATTATGATTTAAATTACAATGCACCAAGTATTTCAATGCTACAGGCTTCCAAGTAGATTCTATCAGGATTGACAGATGATTAACAAAAACTAAACATGCAAGATGTGAAATATAAACTTAAATATTTGGAGAATTTCAAAGGCCTGATGACAAAGGTGCTTGATTCCAAATGTGCAGGCCATGGGATAGAAACCCATTGCCAAACATGCTTGTCTCCGACTTTGTATACTTTATAATGGCCTTTTTTTTTACTAGCACTTTATTGAATTTTAAATCATCATAAACACCTTTAATTACATCATTTATGATGTTCCCTTTTAAATTTTGATATGCACAACTATATTCCATCCTTTGCCTAATTAGTTCACTTTACACTTCTTTAACTTAAAAAACAAGTTAAATTCAGATATAGTGTTTCGTTTTTCTAACTTTCGGTGTTTTTCTTTTCCAATATTTTGCCAACTTTTGATGTTTAAGCTGTAACTTCTTTAATTTGTCTGACAGCCAAATCATATTCCTGTCATGATACGTTATTCTTCAAGTAAATTTTAATTTCTAATTTTAATATAATCCTTAAGCATGAAAAATAAAAGTAATGATTAGAAATACAAAACAAATATGTGATTCTAATATTATCTCATCTTTTAATAAACAGTGCATATTGGCATGAAAAAATGTAAATGGTATCTCAAAGTTATTAATAATTTGTCAACTAATTATTATCCTATTCCAAGTTTTAACTGAAATGATTAAGATTATTTCATAAAATGAAAGGATAAACTATTCTTAAAATATATCATAAAAAATTTATTTCTTGGAGTTACCATCAGAAACATTAAGTTTCAGAACAACAACAATTAAAAACTTCTGCCTTGTTAAAACACTTTGTTATTCATTCTATGTATACAGTCTTGTGTTTATACAAGAGATACTTAAGTTAGATGATCCATAAAATTGTAGAACGTTCATAGGTTACTCAAATAAGAATTCAATTTGAAATCCTTAACCTTTAGATACTACTTTGGGTGCTAATAAAACACAAAATTTTAATTTCTTGAAATAGGTAGACATAGTTATGTATACATATACAGTGTAATTCATGGCAAAATGTTCTAATATAGATATCTTATTAGAAATTAAGGTTTATCTTGAAACAATACAACTTGTCTTTTCTACTTAATTATTTTTTTTTATTTGTTAAACTTGTGCTTTTCCAAATACACTTAATAACTATAAAACAATTATTGTCAGCAATCATTTCATAGAATCTTACAACATTGGAATTTTTTGTTATAAGTTACTTCTGAATGTGAAAACATTAAGGTAACAGCCTAATTTGTAGATTTAGATTCTAATCATGTTTTATATTATCATAAAATAACAGTTTCAAAATTTTCAATTTATTTTATTACACAAAATCAAAACATTTAGGTTTTCAAAGCCTAAACTCTAAGTCATGAATATCAATACTGAATGTATTGGAAAGCCTTTCTTCCAGTTTCTGAATTATATAGTCAAATACTTTGAATCATTTTTTGGGGGTAATCTTGTTTTTGCAGTTAATTATTTTTAGAGATGTATTTGGACTTATAAATTGAGCAGTAGTGAGAATGACCAAGTGAATGAAAATTACCAATATTCAAAATATTACTGAAGTTTGTACATACAAATATACACAAACACACACAAAAGTAATTTACAAATTAATTAAATCGTATTGATTACATAATGATCACAACATTTCAAATTTGAGTTTACATGTTTTAAAACTAAGTGTTTATCAAAAAGCAATATTAGCATAATTCTTTAATTGGTGATCTCACCACCTGGGCTTTACGTAAGGTGGCTCCACTATATATATTTTCTACATGCATTTAATATAACCTGTGGCAAAGAACCTTCAGAATTAATAATATTCTGTAGAATAAGTATGTATTTGAATCTTAATACTCGTCAAACTCATTTATCTAACTAGAAACATATGATTTCACCTCTCATGTCTTTCTATCTTGCATAACACATACATGAACAACAAAAATTCAGAATACTCATAAAAACACCCATGGTTACATAAAATTAGGTTTTAAAAAACAAAAAAACTTTTAGATTCAATTTCCTCTTACAATGGCTCTCTTATTCATTTAGTTACACATTCTTAAGTTCTGTTTAAAAATAAAATTCACAGGAATATCTAGAAGGCAACACTAGGTTTTCAGAAGTCACAGTCATGTACTTGAGAAAAAAAAACATCAAAGGAAATGATATTTTAATTTTAAACAAAATTAAATATACACAAAGATTTTACTTAAAATAAAACCATCCAGTTTTGTAGGACACCAAAATATTTTACATTACAGATATTTCTCATTTATGTGACTTTGTACGTCAATGAATAGTACACTTTTTTTTCTTTTTTAATGATATGTCCACAGACCTAGTGGCTATTGAGACAGGGTTGGCTGATAGGGAAGACGAGGATCTGAAACTGATGCAGTTTCCAGGTTTTTTAATAACTGACTCAGCCAATGTTTAGTAGATTTGTCATCCTTTAAACAGTTGGCAAAAGTTGTATCCTTCAGTTGATCAGGCAAGCACTGTCTAAGAGCTTCACGGGCACTAAAAGATAATCAAAATATTAAATTACCAAAGAAAATTTGTGCTTATAGAACTTTGATTGATAAAATTTATACATGTATATACCCCTGGCGAGATGATTTTCAACCACATAGAAATATATTCTATGTAAAATATGTGCAAGTCATATTATATAACATTATAGAAGATTAAATAGTTCTATCTACAATAACCAAAGCAACTGAGCATGTTACTGGTCAGCATATATAGAAAACAAGCTTAGCTGAACAACTAGCACTATGTAGTTGGGAAAAATTAAGAAATTACACACACACACATATACATGTATATATATATATATATACACACAAACAAATCCATAAGTCTCTTATGCTAAGTATGAGTAAGAAAGGAGTGAAAACCACTAGGAATTTGATATTAGCTTCCCAGCTTTATAGCTTTAACTACCAGAAGGCCAATCCAGGTAAGACATGTACACAACTGTGGTATCTTATGACGGTCATATTTATAGATGTTAAATGCAGTGATAAATAGTATGAGACATATTCTCATAGTAAAACTATAATGCCTGGTAGCCATTATCAAATTTGTAAGTGAAAGTGCTAGCTTACGATCTGTCTGGAAACAATAGGCTCATTAAAACAAAATTTAAAGTCTGGGCAGACAAGAAAATCAGAGACTGATAAGAACTGAAGCATTTTTTAAATACGTAACTTGATGTCTTAAGTAAATTAAAAATATCAGGCACAATCACTAATGACAATCCTCTTTTAGTGCAATTTTTTTGTTTCAGAATTTTGGAACAATGCTACACAGAGGGCTTCTTGTACAAAGCCATTTCTAATTTTGAACTGCTAGATTAGAAGAAAGACATCTAGTAAACAACACTCACTACCAACTCTTGGGTTACCATTATCTGACAGCTCCAAAGTGGAAAGTAAGTTTTGACAGCAACAAGTCCCGAACCATGAACCCTTGGATTCACAATATTGGCCAACTACTAGGCCATGATTGGTCCAGTAGAAAAAAAAAAAGTATTATCTATGAGGTGACTCACATATTTTTTTTCTAGTAGTTCTTTGAAATTTTAATTTATGCTAGTGCATGATAGCAGAAATGTGAGTAATGTGTTTTTTGGCAATTTTTGAAATACTACCAATGATGTCACTACATCATGACAGTCTATGGACTTTCATTTTTTAAAATAATAAAAAGTTTGTTTCAATGCAAAGCTAAATAATAGACTACTTGTGCTCTGTCCACCAGAGAATCAAATTCCAGGTTTTAACATTGTAAGTCCACGAACATACTGCTAATCCACTGGTGACAAAAATAAAAAGGAAAATATAGTTTTATATATATATATATATATTTTCTTTTTTAAGTTTACTGTTCACGCTGCTGTGAAACTAATGCGTTACATTTTTGTCCATACACTAGTTTCAATTCATAATTTTTGTACTTTCCCAAAAATTAATAAAGGTTTTGTAATTCAAGTTTTTTCGCTATTAATTAATAATTTCATAATTATGATAGTACGTTGCAATAAAGCAAGCTTACTTTTCTTGTTCAGAAACAATGAACAGATCATAGCATTTGCTAACAATAATACTTACCTTTGAAATGGTGATAGCTATAGTTGTTTCAATGAATGTCGAATTCTTTATTGTGCAAACAAACAAAAATTTCATACTGGGGTATTTACTTCATTCTTCACTGTTAAAGGGTACCAAAAGATCAGCACTGCCATCTTTTCCCATTTTTACAGTTTGGAGTTTATTAGTAAAAGATGGCAGGCTAATTAAAAGCTTGCTTTTTTTCTTTTAATGAATATTAGCTTTACAGAATTCAGAACAAAAGAGTATTGAACAATTAAAAGTGTCTGAGGTTTAAACGTTACACAGAAAAATAAAATCACGGTATATAACTCAACAGTCAAACAACAAAATATGACAAACTTTGCTTCATTCAAGCACATTACGTTACCTTGTAATGCAATAAAACTTTTGAGGTTATACTGGGGAAAAAAAAAAGGAGAGTGCAATCAAAATAAGGTTGTAATTTACTTATAACGTAAACCTTATAAATCTTATAATGTAAACCTGTACAGTAGAAGTTTTCTTTTTTTCCTTCTTTTAAAAGTTACCAACAGTTCTTTATGTAAAATTGCAAAGTAAGCTAAATATTTTTATTATGCTTTACTCGCCTTCTGCTTCTTTATCCAATCTCATTTTATTTCTAGTAGAACCATTAAAAGGGTTTCTTTTGCAATGCGTTCCGGCATCCCTGCTTGCTGTTCCACTTTTCATTACTTTCAAGTAAAGTTTCATGAGTTATTATGATAACTTTACATCCATTGCACTTACATAAACTCATGATCTCAATCTTCTTCACACAAGTACAATAATAACCACCACTCAAATAAACATACAATTCATTAGTGGGTGCATGGTGCAGTAGTCAATGTGCTACTATTATGACAATACAGTATTCTAGTTTTTTTAGAATTAATAAAACTTTTTATACTCTCAAAAATCATCAAGATATAAGAAGTGTTTTGCACATTTAGTTTCATTGAAGTCTGCTTCCTGTGTCAGTGTTTTGTTATACTGACCCATTGTTTTCCTCCTTTTAAAACTCAATAAATTTGGAATCATGCATTACACATTGTATGCCACTCCCTCATTGGAAGTAACCATAGAAAGGTTATGAGCGTCCATACATAAACAAAGAGTATATAAATCATTTGACTAAGTTGGTGAGAGATGCAGGACAAAATGACAATTTCAAAATCAATTCATGATTTTTCAAAAACGAAATCATCATACGACAAAGAGAGAGAAAGCAAACAACCAAATCAAATGCCAAATCCCCCAAATAAGGTGTACTAGTAAAATTTAAACAGTTAAAAAAAATCCAAAATCATTGATTTAAAACATATAACTGGCTCAAGAAAGAGGAACAATCTGATGAGCCCATTATCTGTGCACCCTGTATATACAACTGCCAGAGAAAAGATGTCAGGAAAATCTAGTATGCTTACTGGTGTGCAATTGGTAATTGCACTATCATTAGTATGTTATAGAAATTATTGCTGTATTACAGCTTGTTTTCAAGGTTTTATAGTTTTAGCACCGGATTGTCATAGTTAACCTATGCATAACACCTGGTTGTTGTAGTTAATACTGGAAACTTCTTTGCTTGCATAACAATGAAACTACACATGCTATAACTCTGAATGTACTAAATGTAATTTCATCAAATATGTCATGCTTTTAGTAAACATTACAAGAAAGTTGAACACAAAAAAGTCAGATTTTTTCAATAAAGTATTTTTAATAAAGATTTGTGTATGAATTTATAAAGCGTTTCCTAAGTCAATCTGAGTGAATGGTCATTTTTCATGCTAAAAATATATATATATATATATATATATACGTTTTTTCATCTTACAGTTTTCATACTTCACTTGCATAAACTTCTTGAACCTCCTGAATAAACAGCAATATTGTTTTTTGTAAAAAAATTATGTTTTATCTCTTATTTTCTCTACTCTAACATTAACTGTAGCAAAATTATTAACGTATAGCAAAATTAAAATTTAAAATTATGAAATAAAATCAAAAACACCTTTGTCTCTAGAATGATTGCAGATTGTAATAAACAATTAAAATTATTTATCCTAGCAACTTCAGGTCTAAGCTTTTCACACCTGCTTTCATTTAATTCTATCATTTTATTATTCTTTGAACCCCATCCAATTAGAGTGATAAAAAAATAAATATCCCAGTGAGAGCTTAGGGTAAAAAAACTACCAAGTTAAATCATGTGATAGCAGACCATATGCTTTCCTCAAAAGAGATATCACAAGAATTTTTTTTAAGTTTTCTTATCTAAACTAGTAGGTTTCTAATTTTTACATTATAGTTATGTTTCTTAAACAATATTTAATAATGAATAAAAAATATACACAGAAAACAAGAAATTTAATACTTATTTAATCTTAAAGCCTTTTCACTCAGACGTATGGTTTAGCAAGCATATTTTTTTCTTATTGTGTTGGTTTGTCCAATAAATAATATGCATTAGAACACAAAAAAATATACATCACGCACTAGGATAGGATGTCCAAAAACTCCTATAGTTTACCTAGCTTTCTAACTAACCTATAAGTATGTTAAGAAATTCCATTACTGATTGCTGTAACATCTTTAGTCTAAACATATCAACTCTTCTCACAAGCTATCACTTTTGAATGCTAATACAAAACAACTGTCTGATTTATGTAGTTCAAAATATGCTCTTTCGTTTGGTTATAAATATGTCCAATATCAATGCGAGAAAGAATTACAGACATTTCTTAAAAGACAGAGAAGATGGGAGGTGTCATGTTGACTGAACAAATGATATCTCAGTAAAGTCAAAAAGAGGTTGAAATGTTATATTCAGGCTTGTCAATATCTATAGTATGCACTTTTAATTGATTGAATAATTAGAAGCCCTTATAAACAAAGAGAAAAAATCTATAAATAAAAAGTCAGAGTACCACCACATCATATGAATATTATTATGTAGTTTTAGCCATTTGAATTCAGAATCCTATATAAAAATGTAGTTAAATCTTAACAAGTAATTCAGAAGTAAAGGGTGATTTACAAACTGAGCTCTCTGGCAATACCAATTCTGATGTTAGGTAAACATGTTGGTTCAAAACTGAGTTTAAGATAAAAAATCTCTATAATCCAAACACTTTTTATAGATGGACTTTCCCTCAGAGATAAAATTCTGATTCTAGTTTTTACTATTCTATCAGTAATTATAATAAAAAACATTTATATTTTTGGAAACTCCACTGTTCATGTTATTTCATTATTAAACATTATTTATTGATACAGTTGTCAGAAGCTTTATTTTGGATGAAAGATTTAGATTACTTATTTTTTCTAAAATGTTTTATATATAATATGTAAAACTAAGAATTTTCAAGAACATAATAGTATTTTTCCCCCTATGTCAGTGAAAAACCAGTTTATCATATGCCGAGAACTCACCGTGGGTTATCAGAGAGCCGGAGATAACAACGAACAACATGTTTCAGTAAACGTGCCGACTGTTCTTTGGCTAGAGACAACACCATTTTTCCCTAAAGCAGAGGAAAAACAAGGTGTTATATTCTATCTCAAATAGAAATTTAATGCTATTTATGTATGTATCTGTATTAAAATGACATTTGTATTTGATGTATATACAAAAGTAAGTGTGATCTGAAAGAGTATTCTTATTAACTTGCACTTCCATTGTAAAGTACATTGAAAACTGTGCAAAATATCAGACATGTAATAGAAAAAGGCAAATATAAAGTTAAAAAATACATTAATAAAGTAGGAAAAAATATTCACCTGAAAGTTTACGTTCAGAGAAAATACAAAAGAAACTAGCATAAAAGAATTCTCAGACTTAAAGTTAATACTTTCTACAATATAAATAATTCATTTAGATGAATCTAAGTTTCAAATGGACAGCAACTGCCTGTTGTAGAAAACTACAAATGTAGAGGACGACGTTTCGAAAGTCTTCCGCCTTTCGTCTTCTGAAGACTTAGATTCACTATGAATACTCTGCCTAAACAACCTATCAAAGAATTCATTTAGATAATGTAAAAAAAAATTATGTCATTTGTTAACTAAAGTGTCATTATACAAGAACTTTTGTATATTTGGTTTTACTTAAAAGTAGTACATAAAGCTGGAGACCATGTAGGGTATAAGGTATGTAAAAAATTTTATATGATTAACTTTACCTAACTTTTCAGTTTTATTACTCTTAATTTTGTTTAACACAAACTGATGTTTACTACAAGATGTTTTTAAAACGTAAATAAAATCATGACCTATATCTCCAGCATGTATGCTTTTACAGCTTTGTCAGGAGCTATCAAAATCCTACAAGATCACTAAACCAGTTGAGATTCAATACTTAATTTAACCTTAAGACCTTTTCACTCAGATGTATGGTTTAGCAAGCATATTTTTTTCTCATTATGTTGGTTGTCCAAAAAATAATTCAGGTAACTTTAAAATAATGCATTAGAACACAAGAAAAATATATCAATCACTAGAATAGGATGTCCCAAAACTCCTATAATTTACCTGGCTTTCTAACTAATCTATAAATATGTTAAGAAATCCCATTACTGCTTGCTGCAACATCTTTAGCCTAAACATATCAAGACTCTTCTCACAAACAATACAACTCTTATCTTTGTGAAAAACGTAATATTAAGCTAATAAAGATACATTCTGGAGATATAGGTTGCGATTTTATTTATGTTTTCAAACCTTTGTCAGATGAAAACTGCAATATCCTATAATAGTACATAATCACAAACCTCAGATTCAGCACAATCATGCTGGAGGATGCAGTTCCAAAGGGAGCAGAGGACTTTGACCTTTGTTCTTAAAAATGTAATTAACCCTCTTTTTCATATCTTGTATATGTTTTCCAAAATTTATAGTGCATACTAGAGGGATTTACAGATTTTATAAAAGTTTAGAAAAACAACCTTTACACTCCAAATAAATATAAAAGAATATTTTATTATTTCAACCAACGTTTTGCCTTTGCAGCTTCATCAGGGTTAATATACACTTATATATAATATTTGAGTTGTGTATATTAACCCTGATGAAGCCACAAGGGCAACACGTTTTTTGAAATAAAAAAAATATTCTTTTATATTTATCTGGAGTGTAAAGGTTGTTTTTCTAAACTTTTATTAAAACATATCTTGTATAACTTGTATCTTTTAACATTAATCATTCCAAACATTTTATTTTCAACACATTTAGTCCTCTATTATATAAACAAATATTATATAACTCACCAAAATCATTGCCACATGTGAGAATCTCTCATAAGTTTGACAAATATAGGAAAGCCCAGTGTCGTCCAACAAAATTTTTTGAAGAATAAACGTAGCTACCTAAAATACCAATGACTGAGGTTAGAATTTTGAGAATAACATTTTTCAACTTATTTTCTTAACAAATAAAAGGGAGTTGTAAAAGAAAACACTTCTAAAACTTAAGTATTAGCTCTTTCCTAACATGTTTCCAATAAATAAATTTTTGTTTAATCAGTTTATTGTATGTAACTGATCAAATAATAAAAATTAAGTATAACTTGCTTCTGGAACTAACAGCACCTTGCAAGATTGTTCACTAACTATATATTATTGATACTTTTGTTATACACTGACGAAAATCTCTAGTATTCCTGAATGAGAGAAAATTTGTTTTATGTTTACAAATTTAGAAATTAAATAAATCAAGTTTTTCCAGAGTAAGGCTTAAATTTGAATCCTTGACTTACACCTTTTGCTTTAAGGCTCTATATTAAATTGAACTCAAAAGTTTTAACTACTTATTTTTGGACTTCAATTCACTTAATGTCATAAACAATAAGACATTTTTCCTTAGTTGATATCTGATGGTTAAGTCAGTAAACTCTGTGACTACTTTATTTTAATCAATAATTTCTAAGAACTTTCTACAAATGCAAGGCTTAAAAGTACTTCACATTAACTCTTTTCAGCACGGGCTCATTCCCTGGGACCAATGTCGTAACAATTTTGTGCTTGCTATAGTTTTCATACTATAACTTTTAAATTAGTAAGTGAATGTTAACAAAATTTGGCAGATTATCAGTAAATATTACAATGCTTTCATTCACAAAAATATAATTTTTTTTATTAAGTCTTAAGGTTTGTAAATCAATGTTTTTCTCATATCTTTTTTTTCTTTTCACATGTTGCCTATCTAACATGCAAAGTAACATTCATTTTAAGAGTTAAAAAACTTTCATGCATCAGAAAATTTTTAAATTTCATATACAAAATCTTTATTATGTACAGATACTTATTCAATGTTTCTTAAGAAAAAACTTTATATTTTATCCGTTATTTTCAGTAACTAATCTCTGTATGGATTCAGTAGATTTGACTGATCTCGTAACCACCACAAAAAATTAGGAAATAAATATAAATTATGCCTCTTTCATTCTAGAATGAACATAATTTATAACATGAAAACATAAATGTTTAGACTAAATAACTTATAATATTATACATTTATGTATATATTTATTACTTTATTATATTGAACATTCAGCTATGCCTGGCTAACAATACAGAAGTTACAATGACGAGGCTCATGTGAACTCATGTTACCATATCAAATGGACTGTACAAAGTAACTTGTCTTGGCTGTGTTTAGTAGCCTAGTATTTTGTAAAATACAGTCACATTTCAATTATTATACATTATATATGTATATAGATTTTTGCTATTTTGAAACAAGTTCTTAAACTTATTTTTCTTAAAACATAGAACAGTAGATATAGAAGTAAAGCAAACAATTATCTCTTCTAGTTATGACCTTTGTACTCGGTTGCTGCTTGATGTAGGTTGCTAAGCCTTTAAAAATTGTGTACATGGAGGATATGAAACAAAATAATATTTTTTAGGTTTTATTTATACAGTTGAATAACTTAAAAAATCATAAATTACTACATCAATTCCATAGAATTCCACTATAATTTATCAAGCTTAGTAACTAAGCTATATTTTAGTCTAAGAAAATATGAAATTTAGAACAGACTAGACACACCCTACCTCGTTGAAATATTGGTTCAACAGTAAGAAAT